TGCAGATGAGAGGAACTTATTAGCAAAGGGATTCGCCCCTGTATCATATATGTACTATATTGTCCCCTATGTACTATTTTGAGATGTCCATTTTTGGTGACGGGCCCTAAAAAATTTCTAAAGGCGCCATTGGCACCAATATATACTAAACTTGATGGGGGTCCGCAAAACGCGCTTTTTAGTGCTTTGGGAGAGCTCAGAAAACCATTTTGATTGACCTAAAAAATGGTCGATAAAATTTTCGAAATTTTTTTTTGAGAAAATCCTAGATGCGCCCCTGTATATAAGTATGTATAATAATGCGTGTGTGTGCGTTGATGAGTTTTGGTGGTCTGAAAAAGTTTTGAGATAAAATACACTTGATGTTAATTGGAAGCAATGATTTCGGATCAAAAAAATATGTAGCCAATTTTGCTATACATTGTGTTTATTTACGATACTGCGAACAAATTAGAAATAAACAAACTAGTATGGGCGCAGACCAAAACTCAAATTGCAAAACTGATTTTGGCACCAATTTATACTAAATTTGAGGGGGGTCCGCAAAACGCGCTTTTTAGTGCTTTGGAGAGCTCCGAAAACCACTTGATCGACCTAAAAAATGGTCGATAAAATTTTCGAATTTTTTTGAGAAAATCCTAGATGCGCCCCTGTATATAAGTATGTATAAATATGCGTGTGTGTGCGTTCATGAGTTTTGGTGGTCCGAAAAAATTTTGAGATAAAATACATCTGATGTTAATTGGAAGCAATGATTTCGGATCAAAAAAAATATGCAGCCAATTTTGCTATACAGTGTTTTTATTTATGATACTGCGAACAAATTAGAAATAAACAAACTAGTATGAGCGCAGACCAAAACGCAAATTGCAAAACTGATTCTTTAAAAAGCTGACAAATTTTGAAAATTGATTCCTTGAATGTTAAGCTACAGTACACAATATGCTCCAAAAAAGGAATATGCTTACATTTATATGATCAATATGCTCCACAATATGCTTACATGTATATGAGATAGTCAAACTACTCAGCGAAGAGCTCAGTTATTTTTATATCAAAGACTTATTTTTATATCAAAGACCGCTAGTGAAAAAAATAGATCGTTTCTACGAACCGAAAGCTAAAATTTCTCACAACACTTCACTTGCTAACCAATCACGTTAGGAACAAAACCTAAACTTAATACACAAATTAGATGTTTTTCTCATAAGACAAATGAACTCAATAGACAGCAAACATGACAATTTTTTTGTATATTTTCAGGGATAACTACATCAAGATAAGGAAACTTTAGCTAAAATTTTTGGAAAAGTTATCATTGAATTGTAATCCTTGGTTGTTTTAACAAGAATGGTTGCTAAAAAAGAATTCTGTAGATACCTTATGATGTCTTTTATGCTGGTGCTGAAGAAAAAAAGATAGATATATGTTTAAACGTATTTATATGTACAATCAATCTGAAAATAAAATTGCTATTCTTATTATTACCACTAAAACTATCTAAATCGGTTTTTCTAAATCGGTTTGTTTTGAATTCTTGTAACTATAGTTTTAAAAAAACATGTTAATTGGGCTAGATTTGGTTGCAATCAGTTTTTCAGTTGGTTTAAGAAATGATATGATTTTCTATCAAAGTTTTTTCTAGTTTATCTAACAGTTTGAATATACATTTTCTTGGCTTCATCAATTTTCAAGTTAAATAATTGAATTGGTAAAAAAGTTGATATGTAGGTTTGAAAATTTTGTGTGTTGTTTCAACTGAAGAAAGTCATAAGTGTAAGCAATACGAGATCTTCTGAGAACGAAAAAAATTCTCCTTTTAATTTTTGTGCATTTTCTTCATTTAATTCGAAAAATTGATCTAAACATATTGATCTAGCTACTCGGTTTTTATTTTG